AGGAAGGAAGGAAGGAAGGAAGGAAGGAAGGAAGGAAGGAAGGAAGGAAGGAAAAGAGGGGGGAGGAAGGAAGGAAGGATTTCTCTAGCAAGGCTGAAATTTAACCAGTGGCTGTCATTCTCCAAGACCAGCTGTGGGTAGAGAAAGCAGCAGAGATGGCCAGGACCTGCTTCTGAGCCCAGCATTCACTGAGCGCCAAGAGGGGCTGGTCCAGCTCTGCCACTCAGACACACACACACTCCACAGCCTGGGAGCACCTTCTCAGCAGCAGGCAAGTGGCCAACGGATCCAGCAGGTAAGTGTGATCTACAGAGAAATTTTGAGGTGGGTAAGAGGAGCCAGGTCCCAGGAACATCCGGCCTTCCTGCCAGCAGGGGCCCGGCACCAAGAGTCAGGTGCCCGGTGAGCCAGAACACCAGGAAACATATCTGGCCACTGGAACTTGGAAAACAAGCATGTAGCCTTCCCCATGGCAAAAAAGAGAGGACCCAGCAGCAGCAGCAGCAGCAGCATAACCTCCCCCCCAAAAAACTCTGCAGGGCCTGGGGACCATCAGTGAGTCACGTTGTGGGTGTGAGGAGGGGGCCAGGGAAACACAGAAACCCTTCCCAGAATTCCAAGCATGAGTTTCCAAGAGCCTGGCATGAGGCCGGCCGGCCCTTGAGGGTGCAGGATGTGGCCCTTGGCTGCATCCCCACCTCTGGCAGTGAGTTACCATGGCAGTTGTGGGTTGTGCTTGGCTTTTGGAGGAGGAAGACATGAACTGGCAGTTTCTGTGTGGGACAAGGAGCCCCCCCCCAGGTTCACCTATGGAAGCTCCATTTCCATGACACAGATGCTTCCCTCTCAGCACCCTCCCCGCACAGCAGAGTTACCTACCCATCCCAAACATCCCCCACTTCTTTGGGTTGTTGAGCTTCCTGTGCAGGATCTGGCTCCAGGGGCCAGGGAGGAGCCCCTAATGGGCCCTTGGTGGGACCTGGAGTGGGGGTCGGGGGTCGGGGGAGAGAACAGCTCCCAGAGAGGGGCCCTGATCATAAAGGCAAGTCTCTGCACCCAAAAAAAAAGGATCGATTGCCCCCAGTCCTCATCAGCAGGCAGAAGCTGCCTTTCCAGGGCTCCAGGGTGCATCTCCTCCCCTCCCTCCCTCCCCCCCTTGTCACCCTATATTCCCCTGCCCTCTTGCCTCAAGAGGCCGGGGGGAGAGAGAGAGAGAGGCGGCCACAGCCCAGAGCTGGTTTCCCTGAGTCCCCCCAGGCTTCTCTGCTGCAGCACTTCCTTCAGCCCAGCTAGATGGCACGATGGGAGGGGGTCGGGTGGGGAGGAGAGAGGGCGGGGATTGAGAAGACCCTGACCCAGTGGACCAGGGCCCTCCTCGCTGTACATAAAGCCCGTGGGTGGGATGATGTGGGGGGAGTTCCCTCCCTACTTGGTGCCATCTTCCGGGTTGCCTTCCCCGTCCGTCTTGCCTTCTTCCTCTGTCTTCTGGTCATCGGTGTTGAGGCGCTGCTGCTTCTTCCGTCGCACACACTTCACGATGACGAGCACCAGGATCACCACAGCCAGGAAGCCGCCCACGGTGGCACCCACGATCACCGCCACTGTGGAGTCTCGCTCCGGGGGCTCTGCGGAGACACAGCCCAGGAGGGAAACTTACTCCCAGGCAGGCGAGGAGGAGAGGCCAGGCCTGGGTGCCCGACGGCTCCTCCTAGGAGCCAGAAAGGGCTGCTTGCCAAACAGAACGTGCAGGAGGAAGCCCTTCTTTTTGAAGGGACAGGCAGCCCTGGAATGGGTAGGAGGAGAGCTGGTTGTGGGGAGTGGGTGGGTGGGGAGGGGCACGCCTGAATTCAGGTCTGGGCAGGGCCCTTGAGGGAAGAGGTGAGGGTGGGAGTGTGTGTGGGGGGTCCTCCCAGGTGGGCTCCCAGGCAATCCTCTGACCTTCTGTGATGACTTTCAGGCTGATCCTGCCATGCCCCTTGTGGCGGTCAGGGGGGTTTGTCACGTAGCAGTGATAGGTCCCTTCGTCCTCCAGCTGCACGTCATGGAGGGTGAAGGACACGTCGTTCTTGGTGGGATTCCCAGTGAATTCAATGCGACTCCCAAAGCGATTGTTCTCAACAGGAAAAATCTTCTGGTTAAACTGGAAGAACTGGGAGTGGGAGTGGAGAACAGGCAGAAGAGAAATCACACTCCGAGGCTTCACTTTAGGAGACCAAGAAGGATGGTCATGGGGGCTTTGAGGGGGGAGGTTTATGAGCTGGTGCAGTCACACAAATTAATCCTATTTAAGGTCACCATAGAAAAGGTGCCTCTGAGCACATGCTGGAGTGCTGCTGGTCCCTGACCACAAAGCCAGGAAGGGGTCTTGTGATGTCTTAAGACCAGCAAAGTTGTTACGGCACAAGCTCACAATGCAACCCAGCTGTGAGGAGGCTTTCAGGGGAGGCTCTGCCTCCTTCATGGACATTCATGGGATCTTCCCCTTAAGTCCCCAGCCTTCCCATATTTCCTCTTTCTTTTTCCTGCCTTTTAATTCTATTGCTAGGAAAAAAACCTAGTAAAGAAAGAGAGAGAGAGAGAGAGACATATCTGTGCCGTGCTTCTTCTCCATGAGCAGCAGGAGGCCTCTTGTCTGGAAGCACCTAAACTCTTCTAGGGGCCACCAGGCTTTGATTTTTGTAACCACTACCATCTGGGAGAGGTGAAAGCACATTCAAAACAACAAGCTTCCCTGCTAGGTAGACTCCGTGTCTGCCAGCCTCTCTCTCTCTCTCTCTCTCTCTCTGGGCCTGAGCTACAAAAGGAGATGGGGATGTTTCCCAGGCGGAGGTGCATTCCCAGGTGCGCTCCAGGGGCCAGCCAGGGAGCCTGCTCTGCTCCACTCCACTCCGCTGTGCCAGGTGACCACTAACCTTTTCTTCAGTGCAGTTTCTGCAGCCCTGGTAGGTCCAGTTGAGGGAGAACTGCTTCTTCTCCACCTGGTAGCAGGAACTGAAAGTGCAGGACAGTTGAACGGAGGAGCCATTCAGGGCATAAATGGTGGCAGGGACCATCACTTCCATGCCCATGCTGCTTGGCACTGCCAGGGTGAGAAAAACAAAAAGAAGGATGCAGCCATGGGTCAGGACCCCTGAACAAACAGCTTGCCCCTCTTTTCTGGGACCCCACTGGCTACCTCCCTCCCTTCCCCAAAAAGACCAGCCAGGATTGGTGGTCATGGAGCATTTTCAGTCAACATCGTCCATCTTAACCTTCACTTTAACCTTTACCTTAGAACGGCAGAGCTGGAAAGGGTGCGACGAATCCTTCAGTCCAGCTCCTGTCAAGGAGGCCCCGTGGGGAACTGAACTCCCAGCCAGAGATCTATTTATTTATTTTTATTTATTTATTTTATTTATATCCCGCCTATCTAGTCAACTCGGACCACTCTAGAGATCCAGAGATACACTGAGTTATCCCACAGTTCAACAAGGTGACAAGGCAGTCCTGTAGCCTTCTGAATCCATCAGTTTTAGCCCTCTTTTTTTGCCTGACTTTCCCCTCCCTCCTCCCTCTGGGCATTGCTGGAATATGCTTCCAGGTGGAGGGCATACCTGGAGAGAAGAGCCAGCGAAAAGCAGGCCAAACAGCAGGCATCCTGGATGGCTTTGGGAACTCACACCTGCTATCAGGGCAACCCAAGTGTAGGGTGAGGATTGACACAGTCCTTCTCTTGAGCCTGCCTGCTTTCCACGGGAAGAAAAGAAAGAGCTGAAATCTGTCAGGCAGAGGCAGATGCCAAGAAAAGCCCAGCCCAGCCCAGCCCAGCCCAGGGGTGTTCTGAGTCCCACTGACCCCAGCACAAGTGCTCCTCTTGGCCACACACAGCAGGGAAGGGCCCAGGCTAGGCCCCCACTCTTTGGTCCCAGGCTCAGCAGCTCCTCCTCTTGAGGACAGGCGAACCCTCAGCTTTGTGGCTCTTTGGGGCCCTCTGCCTGCTGCAGCCTCGGCTGAGGAGGCTTCTGGCGGTTTCCGTCAGCCTCTATGGCAAGGCAGGACAGGTCTCTCTTATCTGCTTCCCCTAGCCATCATAGGGCAGCACGGCCCCCTGCCCTCTCTTTGTTGAAGGGAAGGCTCTGCCTGGCTGGCTGGGGCTGCCAGAGGGCTGATGAGGTCTCCTCTTCAGCAGCCCCAGAGGCCCTGGTTTCATTCTTCTGGAAAGAGGGGCTTGCTTTGGCTTCCTACAGCAAATGTTAGGAACAGGGCATTTGGAGCAGGAGAAGAGCCTGGCTTTCCTGGCTGGCCAAGTGCATGCTTGCCACAGTTGATCCATAGCCGTCCTTTGCTTGCTGGGTGCGTAGAGCAGATGGCTCTACAATGGAGCGGGGCCAGGCCAGGCCCCTGAGAGGTGAGGGTGGGGATGGGAGTGCAGAGATGCTTGGCCTGGCCCCCTCCCAAGTCAGCTGGGCAAACAGAGCCTGAGAAGTCAAGTGGAGAAGAAGGTGGATGGTCAGCTCTTCTCTCCCCACGTGATCAGGCAATCCTGCCATTTGCCCCAAATGCCCTCTGGGAGACCCACCCGGCACAAACCTTTTCCTCTACGTGCCTGAAATTTGAGGATACGCAAACCTGGGGACATCCAGGTGAGTCTTCAGGGAAGCAGAGGCTGCGCCTTGATCACAGACATTACTCTTGCATTCCCACCCCTCACCCCCTGTGCTGCTCCTTTCCTCCATTAAAAACAAACAACTCTGCAGAGGCAGGGAACAGCTATACCCGGTCTCTAGCACAAAAAACCCTCTGGGGTCTTCTGCCAGAGCAATACATTTGAAAATCCTGTTAAAAAGAGGGGGGCAGCAGAAAGAACCTCAGAATGATGCCGTTGATGTGGGCAGAGTGGAGAGAAGGGCTCCCACAGGGCCTCCGCTGTCCACCCAGCCAGCACTTTGAGGTCTCTCTGGGGTAAACACCAGCCACTCTGGATTCTGGAGAAGGGCTTGGGCACCATGGCATGGAGGAAAAGGGCACAGCCACTGGCCCTGTCTCAACGGGGGGGGGGCCGGGAGAGGGTCAAGTGCTGAATCAATGGCTTTCTCTTCTGGGTGTGGGATGGGGGTATCTCTCCTCCTCCCCCCCCCCCACTTGGGCGCCTCTCCTTTCTCCTTGCAGGGAATCCAAACCGGAGGGAAGGGGAGCTCAGCCGCATGTGGGCGAGGCTCAGCGGCGCTTCCAGATGAGTGGGGCTCTGGCGCTAACAGCCCCCAGGCGTGGAGCAGGTAGTGCGCCTTCTGCTCTGAACTGGTCCCACGGGGGCGCGCATTTCTCTGGGAGGCTCCAAGATGGCTGGGTGGAGGGTGGGTTTGCTGCCGCCGCTCCGGTGCCGCGCTCCGAAAACGGGGGGCACGTAAATTTTGTGGTTGGTGGATTGCCGGAAAGGAAGTGGGAGGGCAGGAAAGTGTGAGGAATCTGGCCTGCCTTCCCAGCCCACCCCGCCCGCTAGTGGCAGCGCCACCCCGGCGGTAGGCTTTCCCTAACGGCCCCGCCCGCCCCCCCAAGCCCCTTGGCTTGGACCACAGGCGAGCCATCCCTCCTGGAACGGGCCTCCTCCACGAGCTGATGGCGCAGGATGCGGAAGGCAGAGCGGGGCGGGGAGAGCTGGGGTGACGTGGGGGGTCCGCTGGCTCCCCGCTGCAGCTGCCCGGCCGGACAGAGGGTGGGGGGCCCTTGTGCCACCTCGTGGCCGGCGCCTGGGAAAGCTCAGGCCAAAGAAAATCCCTCCGTGTGGTCAACGGGTAGCTCAGGGGGTGAAGACCGGCTCCCCACTGGGCCTGCCGGAAAGCCCCCTCCCCCCGAGAACAACTTATAACGGATGCAACCAATATATACAGGCTAGGCCTGATGGCAAATGCATTCCCAATTAAGTCGCTTTGATGTGACCTCTGAGCTTGAAAAAAGCGTGGGGTTTCCAGTAAAGGTTAAGCAAGGATGACAGCGAACCTGTCAAGAAGACCCCGGCCAGGCTTGCCCCCCCCCCGCCTTTGCTGTCATCCCACAAGCAGGGGAAGACCTTTCTCTTCAGTCTTCCCTGACTGTCCCA